GAAAAAGTAGTTTCCCTGCACTCTCTGTTGTTTTGTCGTGATACTCTTTTAATACAAAATGTTAGAAATGTTGTTTCTGTAAGTAGAAAAATACAGTTTTAGAATCAGGTCAGTAAATACCTGTACTATTCTCATCCTGACAGTCGTGACTACATTTTGAGGCAAGCAGGGATATCTGGAGGAGTATCATCTGAACTGAGATCTGCTGCTGTGAAGATGGTGTTTGTTAAAGAGGAGGGTGAGGAGAACACGAGTGAGCCAGAACCCTGGAGAATAAAACACGAGGAACCAGAACCCCGGAGAATAAAACACGAGGAACCAGAACCCTGCAGAATAAAACACGAGGAACCAGAATCCCGCAGAATAAAACAGGAGGAACCAGAACCCCGCAGAATAAAACAGGAGAAACCAGAAACCCGGAGAATAAAACATGAGGAACAAGGAGGTTGGTGTTTATTCTTCATTCATCTTTAATGACTGTTTGTGGTACATCCACAGACCCTTTATGTAAAAATAAGACCTTAACTATCATTAAAATGCGATTCATCTAATGAGCGTAGCTTGTCAGTGATCTACGGCTCTGTGTATTAAATGCCGCTCCATCTGAAAGCAGAAGCATGTGATGGAGATTTACCGGTGTAGTGCCTAAATTTGCACCCTGCCAGATTATGCACCCCCTAGTATTGGTAGGTTTTTAGGAGTAGGTGTGGGGGAGGGGTTAGGATTAGGGGTGGGGTTGGGATTAGGCAATCAGGTAGCAACTTCAACGAGGGGGTGCATAATCTGGCAGGGGTGCAGAATTCGGCACAACACCGGTACTATTAATCACAGAATTGCTTTACTGACTAGAGTCGCATGACAATCACATGCGATTTACCATGCAGCCCTTGTTTGTTGATCACAAATTACAAAGTAGACGAGGAAAACTAGGACGCGGGTGTATTCAATGCGCAGCCATTACTGTCTAGAGTGCGTGGAATGGTGTGCTGTGATTGGTTGAGCGGATATATCGCGTTCTGCAGAGAAGGGAGACTGTTTAAATGTCAACATTATAGTTTGAACGTTTGTTCGTCTTGGCTCAAAACTGTTAATTACAAGTGAGATAACGAAATATTGAATCTCTAATCAATATTTTTTGTCCAGTTATTTGCCCAGTTAGTTTTGGTATTGAGGTAAAAGTTACCTTGCATTCGCTATATAACAGTGGGTGGTGGTCACGAAGATGACTGAGCAAATTTGATGC